TTACTGATATAAATATATTATGATGGATTTAAAGAGTTTTTTATTTCATGTATCAAAAGACTCGGCTGTTCTCTTCGCTCCATCCAACTTTGCCGAGGGATTTTTGGTGGGTAGCTCACCCTCGAGCTCTAAGTCTGTCACAGTGCTTCTTTTTGGTGTTCCACGGATCCTGAAAGTACTGCAGGTTAGTATCCAGGATCAACTTGTTTTGGACTACAATCAGATGTGGAGGCCTAATCCGTCCATCCTAATCTAAGCAAAAAGGAGCGGAGGATACAGGTAAGAACTGAACGGCAGGACGAGGTTGTAGGACGGGGAGAGAGTTATGGCGGATAGATTGGTGGGACTTGGGGTTCTCCGAACCCCTCCGCCCTTCGTGCCCAAGTTCCTTTCGTCGCCCCCGTTCCCGCCCCTCAGAAGCGGGTCGGGGCCCTCGCCCTCGTCGCCTGTCACATTTCCCTGCCCCGGAAGAAAACCCAACTCTTCATGCTCCTTTTGTTCTACCAGGTATCTTCGGTTCTCCCGTCGCATGGCCTGCCGCTGCGGAGACTCCTCTCGCGCGGCGCCGTTATCGAACGAGAACGACGACCAAGCGCAGCCTTCACTTCTGGTGTTCTCAGGTCAGCAGCATGGCTGGCTTTCGAATCCCAGAAAGCGAAGTTCGATTTGTTGTTTCGTAGTTGTGTACCGGTGATCATTAGCAACGCCTAATCTTTTGTGCATTCGACGCGACTCTATTCTTTTTCGACGTGACAGCGAGCGTGGCATTGTACTGTGCCGATCCTCCTTGAGATGGAAATGAAAGAGGCCAGTCCTCAGTTTCTTTCGGAGATATCTCGTTTTCCACATAGCGCTCTGCATTCTTGCTTCATCCTATCCCTCTTTTTAAGCTGCATTTGCGCGAGAATGGGAAATTTAATGTTCATTTAAATGAGAGGACCACCTCATACCTAGGAAGGGATCGAAATGACGTGAACATAATGCTGGGTTGATTTTTAGTTTTATTTTTTAAAAACTCTGTTAGGGATATCTTGGCACAAAAAGGTATACTATAATACGAACTATCAGACCTGCTTTCTCCATCGATACATTTTATTACTCTGTTTCTTATTTAATGATCACATGTTGAGATCCTATTGAAACAGTTTTTTTATTTGATATTTTTTCAGCAAATGCTTGATGAAAGTAAGCCATCTCATAGTGTAATGACATACCATAATATTTGAGGATTTTTTTCTTGAATACTAATCCAGGACTTTTCTATACCTTCAACCCCAATGTGGGCTTTTGTGCACACCTTCTACTCAACTCCAGTATTAATAAAAGTCACTCCTTAGGTATCCAAGGATAGCTTAGGTCTTTGTTCTTAGGTTGAAAAATTGCGTGTAATTTTTTAAGCTTCCCTCATTGGTTAAGCAATTTTCAATAGATGGATGCTACATGCCAATGCTTTCAATTGGCAACGGTTTTTGTGTTGCTTCCATTGATTTTCCTAAGCTTGTTATCCGAAAATTTCTCAGTAAATATTTATTTTACTGCTGCTAATATCGTTTTCTTGGTTGATTTCAGGGGGCACTGCATTCAATGGTGTTGTAGAGGAGTTAAAGAGGGTAACAACTCGTGTAGCACATGTTCTTCCTGTTTCTGACGATGGAGGAAGTACTGCCGAGATAGTTAGTGTGCTTGGTGGGTTAATGGATTCTTATGTTACCAATATAAAAAAATTATAATGGATTTTGAGATTTTTTTATTCCTTAACAGAAGGTACATTTAACAGGTATTTTACAGGTGGACCCGCTGTTGGTGACATTCGGTCCAGATGCCTGAGATTGTCTGACGAAAGTACTTGCGAAGCTCTTGCTGTCCGTAGGCTTCTTGGGCATCGGCTACCTCATGATGCGGTACTAGCTAAAAGAGAATGGTATCAAAAGACTCGAACTTCTTTCTTTGTTCTATCAAACTTTGGGGTTCTCTTCTTGTAATACCTTGGATGCTCTCTATGAAATTTCAATAGGTTTCTATTCCTTCACACGAGCTATTCTTGGACACCAATACTTTAAACGAGGTGTTACTTGGTATCTTTCAATGTCAGTGCTGGATGGTTGTTACTAACGTATATGTGGAAGATGATCCTGACTGTAGCAAAAGCATAAATCGTAGTGTAGTGGCACTTGGTTGCATATTTACCCGAAAAATGTGGTCATAGTTTGCCAAAAATGCTTTGCCTGCTTGCCCTTGATGCTCGTGACAATCCTTTAGTTGAACATCTGAAACTGCATTTTTGAGAAAGGATTTTTGGTAGGCTAGTATCTGGAGTCAGTTCGTTTTGGACTACAATCGGATTGGATGGCGAATCCAGTCATGCTGATCTAAGCCAGAAGGAAGGGAGAAAAGAAGTAATAACCGAGCAGATGGAGAGGAAGAAATGGAAAAAGGAGAGAAAAGAAAGAGCAGTGTGGATTAAAATGAAGTAAGAAATTTAGGTAGGAAAATAGAAAAAGGTATTATCTAAATGTAGCTAAGATTTGCTATCAGATATGTGGTGGTTGCTGGATATGAATAAGCTAGTTCTTTCTGTTACTTGGCCAAAACAACTTTAAGTTTTAGTTGTCTTTTTAGTCACAGCATATATAAATCGTTGCAGCAAAAAGTGGAACAGTGGCTTACTCTTTTTTAATCCTTATATACTTGATTATTATCTTCCTGAAGAAAGGGCATTGAACATTAATGATACAGACAAATATGCGAATGATGATTCTGGTGATTCTTTTATGCAAAATTAGCTATTTTTTTCAATATTAAAGTATCAGCTTCTGATTCTTTTAAAGATAAAAAGATTATTGTGATCTATTTTGGCAGATGGCTTAGTATAAAGAGTACACCTTTTACAATTTTTTATCATCCCAATGATGCAGTACTAAGAGGAATTGTATGCACATGAAAACTGGGGTGTATGTTTCAGCCCTTGCCCCTGGTACACGGGGAGGATTCTTGCCTTCAATGAGTCCTGAAAGTTCTAACGCACCCAATCATGGAATGTTTTTTCTTCTTGGTTTTGCACGGTTGTAGTGTTTTTTGGTTTGTCCCCGCTGAAGGTTGTCTAAAGAAAGGGAATAAATTTAAAGTCAGTTTGCTTATTGTTGAAGATTTGTTTCATGTACAATTATATATTCAATCTAGCACCTTTGCCATCATATCATGGAGCTTCTATCTTATGTTTTAGTTTTCAATGCTTGAGTTGTCCCTGTCACCTGTTATTTCTGATTTTTTCTTTGCTAAACCGTTATTTTATTCTGAAATAAGAATTGCTCTAATGGTCTGTAAATGAAAGATGGGTGGCTGGTCCACAGGTTTATTTTCGTACTCATGAATATAAAAGTTATATCTACAAAGTTCTGAACTTGTGGGCTTGATAGTAGATTAGGAGATAACACGCAACAATATCTATTATCTGCAATGATCACAAGCTCCACATATTGTGGTGAAACACCTCAGTTGGCCTTTTATACTTCTTGGATCTGTCAAGTATAATTGATGGTTTTTGTGGCGTTTTTCCTTATCTTGTTACAGTCCTACTATGGCCCTGCTTTGCAAATTACTATCGTAATTAGTGAAATTTTCTACTCTGAGCCTTTTGATGTTAAGATAGTAGATTAAGTGAATGATACGATTATGCTGAGCTGCAAATTTGGCAGGTATGAAATTGTGGAAGGGCTTCACTTCCTTTGGAAAGATGTATCACAACCCTACAGGGAAACGATACGTGCATTTCTGGTTTATTTTCAAAATGAGGTATTTAATAGATTTGGTTATTGGATTAAATCTGTTACATTTTAAGTGAAAGTAAGAAACTTATACAAAGCGTTCCTTCATGGCTTCTAGTAAATTCTTCTATAGCTTTTTTGTAATAATGATTGTTCACTGAATGCTTTCCTTTCTGTTTCATTCTTTTCCTTGTAAGTAATCAGTAGCAACTAATTGTAAGATAAGGATGCAAAAGGGAGGTGGTGCATGGTCTGGCGGGACAAAGGTTTTATGGCTGACTACCTGAAACTGAGAACTGTGTAATGAAACAATTTTAAAGTTAGATTGTTGGGATGTCTTTCACGTCACTCCACTGTTGTGTTCCCTCATACCATTCTGCTCCAAGTTTAGATGTTTTTTTCTTCTAAATTTTAGTTTGATGCTCAAATGTGTCTTTTGTTTTTCAAAGGGTTTCTTTTATATTTTCCATCAATATAAGCATCTTTATAGATCGAATGACACCAAACAGCATTTTAGTTATTTTACACGTTTTTTTCCTTACCGATGGCATCATATCTTATCTGAAGTAAATTTTTATTTTAGGTTTAAACAACGACTGTGTACCTGATATTCTTTTTTCTATGTTCTGTGGGTTTCTTAATGTGGTGCCTATTCTGTTAGCATGTTACCTAAAGTTTTTGGGCTTCTGTGGAATTTATTCTACAACAACATTTTTTGCAGATACTCCGTCACTCAAGTCAATACTTTTGTTTCAGTAATGGCAGGTATTTCTCATTTTCTTAAAAATAGAAATATGATTTTATAGGTCTCCCTTTTCATTATATCATGACATAAAAATGTCTTAAAAAAATGTGTTTGAAGTCTAGTGTGTGAGACCCAATGCTTGACAATATCTCTCGAATATTATCAGATAAGGTGGTATCATTAGTTCCATGGATTATCGAAATTTCCAAATTCTTTTTCGATCTTTCTATAGTGGAGCCATTGTTTTCTCTTTCATAACTTGTTTCCAGGAATTCGTGCTCTATTGTTTCCCTCTACATCGCTTTCACCATCCTAAGTCCTCATTGACTGTCAATTACTCAGCCTACTGATAATATTAGGGTATCCATGCACTTCAATCTATTGTATCTCTTCCTGAGAAATTCCGTCATCCGTGGTTGCAGAAATTGCGCATGTAGGAGTGTATCCCTTTGCTGACTTTCTGAAACATGGCTACTAATATCTGTCTTGCTTCGCAACTGGTCATATTTTGAAATGTTTAGGCTTCAAATCAGAAAGTTTGATGCGATATAAGATTTTAAATGGAACCACCTGCCTTTGGCTTTAAAGAAAAATTCGTCTATTTGTCTATTTTTAAAAATGACGTCATCATTTTTCTTAAATTATGAAAAATGCCATAAATATTGAAGTTTATGGTGGGTAAGATCTTTCTGCTCTAAAGGTTTTGCATGCAGATTATCTAATCTTAGAAGCTGTTACGATCCCCTCCTCACCTCTCAGTCAATGAAGGTAAAATGTCAATGGATTCAAGAAAAAATGTAACAGAGAAAAACAATGTAACATGTGGGAATTAGTTCTCGAGAATTCCCCACTCTCCAGTCTTATCTCTCTCTTCTTCCAAGATACCCCCCCCTTATTCAGAAGGAAAGGGGTATTTATACCGTTCATCCCCACTCCTTCCCAAACGTTCAATGTGGAACCTTCTAGACTATTTGCTTATGATGAACATATGTTTTGAAGGGTACCATATCAAAAGCTTGTTGCTTTTTTGAACTTACAAAAAACGAATTTGATTTTTATATTTTCAACCAAGTTTTTTTATGTTGTGGACGATGTAAATAGATTAGGCACTATAGCTACTGATCTTGACTGGTGGAAGATTCTCTTACCATGTATCTTGTGGGCTGTAGGGAAAAGAAATACAAGATGATTAGAACAACAGTCGGATTGTTTGCTTTTAACTAGTCTAGAGTAGTAAAAATGGATAGTGGCATTCCAGCTTGGTAGATACACTTGACCAAGAACAAGAACAACCTGCTTTCTGGGTTTCTCCTTTTTCCCTTAGCATCTTACTACGTGAGAGTGGGATTTTCGTTCTATTGCTTATCTTGTTTGCTTCGATTTTTTTTCTGTTTAGTTCTTTTTATGTTTTTCTTGGTTTAATATGATTGTGGCACGACCTCCTGAGGAAAAAGTCATGGAGACGTCATCTAGCCGTTTTATGTGCTTGTATGAGCGTAGTTCGACTTTTATTTCTGTTTCATGTTTTATCACTGCCATCTCCAAAACCTGTTAAGGGAAATGCTTGCATGAACGTCACTTCCACCTTTACATTTAAGCAGCAAGAGGACCTTAAGTCGAAAAATTAAGCCCTAGTGTTTGGCAACTTGCTTGGAACTTAGTCCAATAACGCTGAGATTGATCAATTTTTCAAGGTTCCAGTCCTCTGTTTGCATAGTTGAAGCCTTTTGAAAGGTAATTGAGGTCTTTTAAAAAGAACTTTTCCTATTTTTTCATGCTATGTCAAAATATGAAAAATATTCGCATGTGTTGTCTTAGCTGCCTACATATTAGTGGGCCGATCAATGTATAATGTGTTGTTTCTATTTGAACGTGAGATATCATTTCTAGATGTCCTGACCAGTTGTTATCCATTTTGCAGCATTGGGAACTTCTTCTTTGCTGGAGCTCGGATATTCTTCCAGTCTTTGGATGCTGCAGTCTTTTTGTTTTCACGTGTTTCAGATATTCCTGCAGAAAGTCTTGTCCTTCCTGTTGTCTCCACCAATGATAGGCTTACGTTGGGATGTGAGTTATGGGTATGCTTTTTGCCTTTACCTTGTTTACCAAAATGGTAAAAAAATGTCATGCATTTATTATGATCTTTGTGTCCTATATTATCAGGATGGAACTATAATACGGGGACAAAACGAAATATCGCATCCAACTAATGGATTGTTGGAACCAATAAATAAGGTATCAAACGCAGAGAGGTAGTCCATGTAACATGTGTACCTTCCATATGCTTTCATTTTTTAGAAAATGAAATTTTTTCGAATAAGAATAATTCAGAACTGCGTTTATGGGGAAGGTAAGAAAAGGTCATCATTGTATTTTGGTTATGCCTCTTATACCTCTGAGCTGCATAAGTTACCATTCTGGTTCTGCATATGTTAATTACAAGGCATGAATGTCAAGTGGGAATTTCCAAAGAAAATGGACAAATGATCTCAAGAATCGGGATATAGCTCCAGTAGGCATACAGTCTAAACCATTGCAATATCTTACTCACATAGTTCACTAAAGTTTCTCTGCCCACGTTTCACGGATGCATTTCCTACTTGGAGTTTGAGGATAGTTTAGTTGTGAAATTTAGCTGTGAAATTACCATGAGGGGCAATTCCATTCTAATCTAGTGGTCGAGAATCTAATATAAATAGTGAGATTTCAGAAGGAATTTTCGAGAATTCGTGTCGGTTCCCAGTGAACACCTGTGATTAGATTTTTAATGGTGTGATGTACTGAAAAGGTCATCTGGCTGACAAGATTAACTGAAAAATATGTTTTGGTGACACGTCAACCTGAACACCACATTTGTTACGTGGAGAGGCTGAAGACCTACTCTACTAGCCAGGATATGATGAAATCAGTTGATGTCTAATACGAAGGAGTTAACCAACGAATGGTTCATTTCATTGCCTGCCAAACCTACTGTTTTGCCTCAACCTATTCGGTTTGTACACATGTCAACCTATTCGGTGTGGACACATAAATAGTTTGTCGTCCATTGCTTATCTATAGTGGTATAACTTTGACATTGATTTTGTTAATCGAGTTTTTACCTTATTTCAGGTTTTTGTAGTTGTAATATTTTACTAATTCAAACATTTGTTAGTTTGCTGCTATTTGCTTGTAGTTGATATCCCTGCTTGCTGTCTCTTTGCATTAATCTTTTCACATGTATGTAGTGGAAAGATACGAAATTGCATCCTCTGTGCATGAAATTTTAAACACCCTTGTTTGTTAGGTGTTTCATCCAAGTATTATTTCATGTTTAGGAATCATCAACTGCAGCACTGCCATCAAGAATAAAGCGAGTCTTCTACATGTCTAGTGAGGGCAGCAACTTACTGCACGAGGTCAATGAGATGCCCCTATCTGCTCTTTTTTTTAACGTCACCTCTGAGGTTTTATTGATGTGTTCGAAACATATTCTTCTGTTGTATATCATGCGCCAGTTCTTACGATTCTTCTTATTAAGTAAAATTTTCATTCCAAATATTATTTTTAGGCATAAAATCTATGCTTGGTGTTCTGGAAGGTAGTCACAAACTATTTATGATGAATTTCGGAGAAAAATATTCCACCTAGCTGAATCTATGATTGATATTCTTTTCACTGGTGTCGGATGGAAGCATATTGAATTGAGAGCGGGCTGAGTACATCTCAAAAGGAACGTGGGTTTAGGGTCGTGATCAAGTGCCAAAAACCACTGGCCAATGAAATTTCCCGGCTTCCACAATAAGAATGGAGGGATTTATGAGACTCACATGTCCTCTTTGTTAATGAAGACTTGGCAATCATGAGCGATATTAAGGAACATGAAGTGATCGAGGGTCGTCATGCCTGATGGTCATTAAATGATTAAATATGTCCCAAAAAGTATCCACATCAGCCTATGCATTGACTTAGTGAACTTGTTGGCGCCTTTTGGGTACTGAGTGTAGTGTTCATTCCATCTTCTTATTGGGTAATCTTTTGCTTGTCACCCGCATGTTTGGTTGTTTTTTGTTTGTTCATGGTTTTAGCTTGGAAATCGAATTGTTCTCATGCCATTAAAGAGGATAGGTAAACTTTTGTATATTAAGGGGGTAAACAACTTAACTGGTTCAAAGTAATCATGTAGGACTGGGAAAAAGTTGTAGAAAGAATACTGTGCTCGGAGCTTAATATAGATTCATTGCAGTACCAAGCAACGTAAATATTTTCTCCTGTTGGTTTATTTTAATGTGCTTGGCTACTACTCTATCAAAGCTACTATGAGCTATTTTCCTTATTTCTTTCACTTCCAACAATCTATCACTGATATGGCTTATAGGTTTTCCCTGTAGCCAACCCTATTGTCCTGGAGCAATTGAGTAAAGTCGATTCTATTGTGTACGCTATGGGCTCCCTTTTTACTTCCATCTGCCCGTCATTGGTAAATCTCTCTTTTTGATTGCTTAAATATGACGAATTGGACTCTTTGATATATTATTTCAGTTTGTTGGTGTATTTGTGCGTCCATACATATGCGGCTGTTATTATTGAAGTACAATGCTTTAGAAAGGCGTAGGTGGAGCCTGATTTCGAATCCAATCTTTATGACATCAGGAAACCATGAATGTGATGTTTTGGTATGCACGATGTATTCATTTGGGATTAGAATAGTGCGCTGTCCACCAAAATAACCACGAGTCCCAAAATACTCTATTTCATATAGAATGTTGTTTATTTGCATTCTGGTGACATATGTGGGTGATCCTATCTCTGAGATCGAAAATTGTAGGTATGGAGGCTTAGACCGTTTACAGACTTTTTTTGCAAGTAAACAATTGAAAAAGAGATTTCTTAAGACAAATGTTTCCAACAATTTGCTAGTTTGTTGGATGCTAAATGAAAACCTATTGGGTTTGATTTTTTTCTACCTTGTTACTTTGGTTCTAGATTCTTGTAAAATGAGCTTAATTATGAACACAAGAGATGCTAATTCCGCGTGATGCTAGTGCAAACTGGAAAGGATGACGAGAAGACGACCATCTGGATAGTGGTATGAATGTACAATACTCTTAAAAATAAGGGAGACGATTGATGATATGTGATGACGCATGTCACGCAGTATGAAATTCCACGGCTGAGCTTCTCCCAATGGTTGAACACGAGGTAAAGCAGATGATGGGAAATGTAGATCTATTGCAAAAGGGTGTTCATTGTTCATTGCTGTGTAAAAAATATGGGAATAGTTGATGTATAGTTTGGTGGATGGTAAACATGTAAAGTAAATATGTGGCTTTCTTTTATCATAGTGTACTGTTTGTGCTGTTTTGTTTTCTTCATTTTCTTTTATGTTCCATATTTAGATTAGTTTATTTAATAAAATAATAACATAAGTGACCTTCGAAAATAATATATTTGTTGGTCAGCAATTATCGTTAGAGGTTAGGGTGCATCAATATAGAGGAAAACTCAGAGAAATGTTCAATTTTTCTGAACGTGAATTTCCGTGAAAGCTAAGTGACAGGGAACATGTAAGATGTAGTCATACTTAAAAAGGTGCAATTAAGAAACCCTGCACCTAATAATGTGTTTATTTGAAAAAAGTTAACATAATGATCGTACTAAGATAAGCACCGTAGATAAATCTTAAAGCATTCTTTGTTTTAGTGTGTTCATATCCGGGAAGAAGAAAGATGATAGGAAGAGTGAGGAGGTGGTAAGGCATTTATGATTGTTGGTGCAGGTCAAGTCGCTAGGTCATTGTATTAACAGTCGGCAGCATCCATGGGACTGGCTGTTAGCAGCAAAGAATCATGAAGGGATAAATGCTTTTTCTTAAACTAGAGTGAAAGGAAGATGATTTGAGCTTGACGCTATGGTGTGGAATCAGTAAAAATGCATACTACTCGTGCACATGCGAGCTTTTGATTAAAACCGAGTGGATCTAAATGGAAAAAAATTACCGAATTGGATTCTTAGATTTTCAATTAAACTCATGATGTATTGCTGGAATGTTAATCGTTGACCTTATTTACTACGGATGTCTAGATCTCGCGAAAAAAAGTTGAGGAGAAATATTGACATTTGACGCCGGGTAAACATGGTTTAGTTTCCATGGCTTCCCATGGCACTTCAGTTTGGGTATCCCATCCTAAAACTGTCCATTATCCTTTCAGACTCTTAGGTTTCAATGTCGATTCCAAAGGCAGTCAAACAGCTTGTACATGGTGATATGTATCAATGACATCCTTGTTGTGAATTTCATATTTGTTCTGCTAATCAACTACATAATACCGAGTTTTTCTTTTAAGATTTTGAATTTTGTTATAGAGGCTTCATTTTAATTGCCACCTGGTTAATAAGGGCATCTTAAATTGATTTCCGTCAGATAATGAACAACTATTTTGATTGTTGATGTGACATCAAAGTTTACTTGAAAGCTAATGTTCTGCTCACTTTTATTTAGTTTATTATTATTGTAATTATTTTTTTTACTTAGTTTTCAAAGATCAATCTTTCGCTTACATTTAGTGATTTCAGGTGTTGCTTGGCATCGGTGAGATTATTTCATCACGATCTATTCCGAAGGTATTTTTTTTAATGTTGAAACTTTAATTAGTTTAAATTCTGTCCTTTTCAATTTAGTTTTCTTTTCCAATAATTTTGCTTCTTATTTTGGTGTTTGCTTGACCATTATATTATAATAGCTTGATTGGAACGATTGAGAAATATCCATGGTGAACGCGCAAATTGGGTTCGAGCCAAATTGCTTTCAAAGTGCTCTGATCTCCTATCTACTTGCCCTTGTGGAACTCATTCACATGACTTAATTGTCCTTCCTGTTCACGTCCCTTAAATATAGCACATCATGCCTTACTGATTTGTATCATTGTAGCCCTACTGATTTCGTTTCTCTTCTCGAACACAGCTCTTACCTCCACAAAATTGAACGGAAACTAATATGTTGAAGTGTCTAAATATGAGAGACAATTGTCTGAATGGCATATCGTAGATTAGTTACCCAGGACCCAGGTGGCTCATTTCGACTAAGTAAACTGCAAATTTTTCGAATAAATGCTGCTTGGAAGGACTCGAACTATGGTCAGCTAAGGTATCCAGATTAAGACGGTGATTGCCCAGAGTTTTAACTTAATTGTTTTGTGTGGTGCCCATGCAGAACATGGCGAAGTTTTAAAAGTTTCATGGGAGGGATTTCTGCTGTTGACAGAAATTTATGCTATTTAGTCCTCTTACCTGGTCTCAGCGAAAGAATACTTTTTTACCTATAATTGGCAACTATCCTGTGGAGCAGATCCCTTGTTCATTGATTCAGTGGCCAATATTTCTTGTAGGTCCTGCTATTAAACGGGTCACATGACAGGGAAACTTCTGGTATGTCAGCATCCGACTTCGTAACTGCCATTGCGAATGCACTAGACAGAACCTATGGGGACCCCCAGAAAAGGTTAAAGAAACTTGTAAGTGTACGAGTACCATGCTATTGTTTTCTGTGGAATACGGATACTTTCTTTTCTTTACTTTTATTCGTTGTTTATTGCTCTCAATGATAAGGAGACCCATATAGCTCAATGAAAATACTCATCATTACCTTGCTTATCTTCCATTTTTCTTTGATTCGCGCTTCAGCACTAGAATAATTGGTGATACATCTGTCACATTTCAGTGAGTAACTATAATTCTGTCCTTTGTTCATGCACAGCCTGGTGAATACGTCAACTCATTGTTGGTGCCAAGAGGTGGTCAAGTGCCCGTAGATACCGAGTGTTTGGCTGCTCAGGGAATTTTTCATGTGGTACTGATCAAATTTTCTTTTTTCTGGTACATTGCATAATTACCTTTGTCTTTTCCGTTGACCGAACATGCAGCCACCTGGATAGATAATTCTAGTGAATCGGTTCAAACACAACTGCTCAGCAGCTGGTAGAGTAAAATATACATCAGTTTGATGCAACTTAGTTCTTCATTATGGATCATGATGTGGATGCGTTCTGGTTTGATGATCATGCCTTGTACATCCTCGACGTTAAGTCTTCTGACAGTCCCGTCCCTCTTTTCTCATAGAAAGAAGGTTCAATGCTCGCAGTTGTTTGCCAGACCTCGTGGGTCTTACTGTTCTAGGTTCCAAGACTCATTGCTTTGGTTCATTTAACCCACGTGTTTGACAGCGTTATTTCTCCATGCAGGTCACTGTCGAATCTATCCTGGACCCAAAGTTGGGAGTAATATTTGATCCAAAGAGCCTGGTTGAAGCCCTCGTTAATCTGATCAGAGAGCGAAAATACTCACGATTGAGGTAGATTCAGCGTCAAAATGTCTCAAGAGTGGCCTTCTTGCTCGAGTTCTCAGCATCTGATTTGAAGCCCCGAAGCCTCCTGAAGGGCAGCAGAGGACGATCCCTGTATGGTGCTTCGGGGCCGAAGCCCCGAAGCCTCCGTGGGGAATTGCCGTGGTTCTGAGAACATATTCTTGTAGCAGTCGTACGAGGAAGATGGCAGCGGGTCGAAGGACACCACTTCCTCTTCTTCTCGCTGCTCATAAAAGCTTGCCTTCTCCGATCTGGACTCCCCTCCTTGTGCATCTTTTGTGCTTATCATCGAATGATCCTTCGATCCTCGTCTGTACGAGTGATGGCCGAAGGGGATCTTTTGTATCAAACGAGTGGAGGAAAAGGGCAACACAATTTTTTAAAAATCCAATCGGTAATGTACTTAATCCATAGAGGGGGAAGAAACCCCTCCTCCTTCCAGGCACTAGCAGAGTTCTTGGTGAGCGAGTCAGAAGCAGGAGTTAGTACTTTCTTCCTATGTCAGCAGTCAGAGGATCAACCTCTTCTCTCATTGGGGAAAAAGGCTTGGAATTCCATGGAGTGATCGAGTCATTGACTTTATCAAAAAACATCGGATTTGAGAGCTAGCTATATCGAGACTTTAGTAGCCTTGATAGAGAAACCACCCGTTAAGGCCTTAAAACTTCCTAATTTTATCCGCAGAGGCTGCTTCTCTCATTCTGATAAGGAAGCAACATTGCCCCTCCTAGTCCCCGGAGATGGTAGCTGAGCAGGTTGAAGCAGGGAGATAGCGGCAGAGCGAAAGGAAAGAAGAGACGTTTAAATGTTTATCCTTTCTATTATATTGGCCATGCTGAGGGGAGCTCGATAGTCAATAAAAGAAAAAACGTTGGCCAGAAAGCAGCGGAAGAAGGCGGACACTGATCGATGGGAGAGGATGACGCACAGGCCTTCGCCGGGTTATGGTCTGTCCCCCTGTGCATTATCCATATAAGAAGGGAAGTGGAGGTCGATCAAGATCGATGCTGGATCGCATTCACGAGGTAGGGACAGCCCAAATGGCAATGGCGACTTGATTCTCATCCCATGTCAGAAAGTTCATGAGGGTCAAAGTTAACTTCCTCGAATGTTTCATAGAATGACCAAAAGACGGAGAATTAACGTTATCCAGCGTACGGGTCAACGCGGAGTTTCATGGTAAAGCATCTATTCTCGTGACTGTGAGAAGGGTCCGATTCGATACACTGCAACATTTCTTCGGAGACTTTGGTATTTTTTTTCCTTTTTTGGCTTGTTGGAGAAAGCAAATAATTTGAACTTCGAAGGTGGGTATTTTCCAAACCTAGGAATTAGGCCAATCCCTGTCCGGATCCATCACTTACAGTCTCTATCTCTCTTTCTCTCTCTCTTTCTCGCGAATAGCGACTGAATGGATGGAATCCGGCCTTCATAACGGTTCAGCCCTTGGTCTTTTCTCCGCGTTTCTTGTCAAGTCGGAATCAGGCGTTGACTTCGTGGAAGATGCTCTCACGCTGAATATTTTCCGACGGTGCCTACTCATAAACGCTGAAGGCAACATAGATGAGAACCAATTATGGGAAACTTTTATAAATAATAAATTATGTTCTATCAATCCTTGCTTGCGTTGACACCAAGCTGCCAGGGCACTAGCTTTTCGTTCCCGCGACCCCACCCATTCATGGATCAATAATCCTTGCGCCTTGCTACAGCACCTCTTCCTTGCCAGTTGGATCATCATCCAGAACCCCACCCCGCAAACATCCCCACCGCTTCTGCGGGATGACAGCAAGATGACGTTAGGAGGGACGAATTGGCGTCATTTATATTCAATAATGGCCCGGACCTATTGACCGACCACACATGAACCGCCCTAGACGTCGAATCTCATCACATGAAAACGTGATGCTCTCGAAGACTATGTGCCAAGCTCAGGCCCATGCCATCCTCCCATTAGGCCGAATCTCGCAAAGAAAAAGTTCAGAAAATACGCTCCAACATCGCACACCGATCTTCCTTGTGCCGCTTACACTGATGGAAAAGTGAGAAGTGTGAAGTGGGTGCTTATTTGAGAGTGACAGTTGACTACGCTACTGCTAGGCATAATCGAAGCCACTACTGCCTGACTGATGGTTCAAAAATATCGTTTCTCGCATTAAAATTTTTTTCTCAAACGAGCGTACATTTATATTTCCAAATGGGTACCCCAGTTCGAATAATTTTTTTCTTCTTGTTTTTAGTTTTGTCCAACGGTTGGTAGGGTTAACAATCCCGCTTCGATTTGTAGAGCGGGGTGCCCAGGGAGATCGAATGGTCGGGCTACAGATCAGAATGGGTTGGCCGCACTACCGATAAATAGAGGCCATCCACACTACTCCACTCCCCTCAATGCTTCACTCACACTTGAGGCCCCTCACATTTTGATATCTCAATCACACCGCGCTCCTCCGCGGCTAGGCTTCCGGCTTCGATCAGCTTGCTTCCCGGCGCTGCCTTTACGGAGTGGTCCCGGCTGTCCCCCGGTCCCTCCTCGTGCATGTTCTCGGAGACGTGCAGAGGATTTCCATCTTCTCGGCTTGGGTTTGGGAGGGGCAGGCGACAGGGACGTCTTCCCACCGTCTGGCTCGGAAAACTAGCCGACAGGGTGGAGGGGAGGGCAAGCTCCATGTGATCTGCACCGGAGAAGGCACAGCCAAAGAAGGTCCCCATGGAGGTGGATCGAGGCCGACGCGCCAGCGTCCAAAACAATGCACTTCAATCGTTGACTGTTTTCATGGGCTTCAGAGTTAGAATAGGGTTGCCTGACAACGAGAACGATGCCCTACATCCTGAGGGGAAGAAAAGTCTTCGCGCATTATGTTTACTGCCGCTATACGCTTGGCATGTTCATCCGATAGGGTACCAATAGAGAAACAGTGCCTTCCATCTGTAAGAAGTATCCGACGGGGATTCCCCTCCGTGGGAGAATGAAGTGCGGCCTGAGGTGGGCCACGAAGGGAACCAGGCCAGGTTCAGTTGATAACGTTTGTACACCTACCGTAGACTCCGTAATGGGCAAGAGAGGAGGGGTCTCTCACGCTTCCAATAGCCCCACTCCCGGACTGATGCCGTCCAGCTAGCCAGCCAAGCCAATAGGGGGCACTCTCCAACTTAACCAGGTCCCCCAGCTTCAATCCCACAACTTCTTAAACACGCCGCTGAGCTAGCTGGCGTAAAACGTCGATCTATATTAATTTGAAGGACAATAAATCGATTTCTGGTGTTACATTTATTCACTGACCAATGGGGCGATCATGGCGGGGTATCCCTGCCCCGTGCTTTCCCCTTCCCACGGCACCAGCCCTTCTCCTCCGGCGGTCCCTCCACGGTTTGCCCAGGTAGAAACTCCGCCGGGTCTCCCTACAACCACTGTCAGTTGGGTCCGGCCGTCATTCGGGTCACAGTCCTCGGAACCGTGGATTTTCTCACCCAAGGGCTGACGGCATCAATGACTCAGAAAAATTACCGGAGTTGACGCGTTGACGCCCCGTTGAATTCATCGGCCTAGTTGAGTTACACTAAGCGCGCACGACGGCGGGGTTGGCGACGAGTGGAAGAAGACAACGGTAGAGCTGATGAAAGCTTCACGTCTCTCTGGGGTTGACAGGTTGGATCCACACGTGAGGACCAGGCCACTGTCACGGACGGGGTACACCGTCGGTGGGCTTTCTTTATTTTTACTCAAAGACTCCAACTTTATCAGCGTCCGGTGGGTGATCCCCGGGGAAATTGCAAAATGGCCTAAAGCTTGACCGGTGGGAGATCCGGCGCTGGAGAGGGACTGTGCTTAATGATTCGGGTTTTCCATCTGAGTGAATGGGTATCCCCCACGGGGTTTCTTCCTCGCTTACGGTCTGCCCCACCGGCACGCGTGCTGGCTAGCTAGTCTCCCCCTCCCACCCGCCGCCGAGCACGGACGACGCCCGTGCTCAAATCTGCACTGCGCCGTCCTCCATTTATCATTATAGAACTCTCGCTTTCTTTTATTGGTATCCCGTCGCCCTCACTGGAGGGACGGGAAAATCCAGATATCGGAGTGCTGCTGCTGCTACCGCCCTCACTGGAGGGTAGGCGTCACAGGTGTCACCGGAGATATCTTCCGTTAAGCATTCTGGAAGAGCAGCATCAATGAGAGGAATTCGTGGATAGCAGAGGGGTTCTCCTTCTAACACGTACAAGTCTCCACCTTCCGTCTTCTTAAAGCCCGGGTTGGCCGGAGGAATAGTCGGATCCTCCTCCCCTCCCTTCCTCCACAGCCCTCGTCTCTGATGGGGGCTCCCCGTGGAGGGCAAGGGCCTTGCCTTGTCCGCCTGGTGGTCCTGCTGTTGGCTTTCCAACGCGGTGCTCTAGCGGGGGCTTCCCATGGCTACGAGCATAACTACAACCTGACGCGGTGGAGGGGGAGGGGAAGCGCGCAGAGCTGCAACCTGTTCCAGGGGAGCTGGGTGCCCGACGACTCCTACCCTCTCTACGACTCCTCCAGCTGCCCATTCCTCGAACCGGAATTCGACTGCCAGAAGTACGGCAGGCCCGACAAGCTCTACCTCAAGTACCGGTGGAAGCCAGACTCCTGCGACCTCCCCAAGTAATGAGTAGCACCCCGTCCCTTGGGCGGAGGTGCAGTTCTCTTCCCCATCACTTCGTTGAATGTCTTTTCTCCGTCCCATCGACATTACTAAGAGGGAGAATTCTGGGGAAATTGGGCAGGTTCAATGGCGCCGACTTCTTGTGGAGGTTCAAGGGGAAGAAGATCATGTTCGTTGGGGACTCCATCAGCCTGAACCAGTGGCAGTCGCTCAACTGCATGCTACATGCGGCGGTGCCCAATGCCAAGACTTCCTTCATCCGGAGGAATTCCGTCTCCTCCCTCCGCTTCGAGGTGGGCTCCCCTTCTCTAATCTCTTTTCTATTTTTCTCTTTCGTCGCCGTCCGATGGGGAGGAACCGAGTGGGTGAATTTCTTCTCCTTGTCGGTGGCGCCACCGCCGTGTCGGAAGCACCTCGAGGTGAAGTCACACCCACGAGCTCCCTCGGCTTTCAATGCTCCATAACTTCCCCATTGCTTCGCCTCCCTCGTTGACCCCTGAGAAGTCCCGTGCCTTCCAAGTCCTCGCCCTTGGGATTACTCAACCTCAACCGCTGCGCTTCGATGTTCGTCAATCAAAAATATTACCGATCAAAATCCTAAAAATAAAAGAAAGCTGCTTCTGTGTATGTTCTCCTCAGAGTTCTTCGTCTTCCGGAAATGCAGGACTACGGGGTTTCCGTGATGTACTATCGGACCACTTTCCTGGTGGATATTGTCAGCGAGAGGATCGGGCGGGTGCTGAAGCTGGACTCTATAGAGGGCGGCAGCGCATGGCTTGGCGTTGACGTGCTCATCTTCAACACATGGCACTGGTGGCTCCATCGGGGGAACAGCCAGCCGTGAGATTCGGAACCCCTCAAATCGCCGCCCACCTTCCTCCCCATCTCCCACAGCGCTGACCGACCGAGCCGCCGATCTGCGCGCAGGTGGGACTACCTCCAAGAAGGCACCGCCGTCTACAAGGACATGGACCGGTTGACCGCCTTCTCCAAGGGACTCTCCACATGGGGGAGATGGGTCGACGCCAACGTCGACCCCTCCACCACCAAGGTCTTCTTCCAGGGCATCTCTCCCACCCACTACAAGTAAGCTCCGACCCACTGTGCATAACTTGGATAATCTAATGTGGAACATAAAATTTCCCCTAAATTCGGGCTAATAGAGGGGGTCCTTGTTCGGGGGATGCAGTGGAAGAGACTGGGGAGATGCGAGAGCCAGCTGCAACAGGCAGACGGAGCCGGTGAGCGGATCGACGTACCCAGCGGGTTCGCTGCCGGAGGACGCCGTGGTAAAGAAGGTTCTTAGCACCATCTCCAAGCCGGTTTACTTGCTGGATGTGACGCTGCTGTCGCAGCTGAGGAAGGACGGCCACCCCTCCGCCTACAGCGGAGACCACTCCGGCATGGACTGCAGCCACTGGTGCGTCGCCGGCGTCCCCGACACTTGGAACGAGCTCCTGTACGCGGCGCTGGTTCTCTGACTGGCGCAGAGAGAGCTGGCCCGAGGGCTCCATTGATTCCTGCAGATAGCTCCATCTCCATTTCTTTGCTTGAACCACTTTTCTCGTGATTTCTCATTGGGGGTAGGCGTCAATAATCATCATTAAACTGTAAGCGAAGCCTTGGATCGCCTCTGAAGGCTCAGGTGATCCATCTACAAGAATCCCATCTGAATGTTGCAAGAAACGTGACATTTCTACGGAATAAAGCTAGTAACCAACGTAAACAGCAGCGTTGACCACATAGCAATCGTCGTTCTTATCTCCCATGGCCTCCAGGCGGACGCCACTGGAGCATATCAGCCCTCCATCCACTACCTCGATACCGATAATTTGTCCACTGCAGACCACAAACGAACAAATGGTAAAGGGTGATGCCAATCTGCAGATTTCTCTGGTTCCCACCAGATAAACAGATTATGGTGTTCAATCAAATAGGGAAGAAAAGTCGAGTTAATCAGCTAAAATCTGGTTCTGGCGACTGTCAAGAAGGCTAAAAATGTGACAACAATCATAGGTTGAATGATTCTCGAGAATACCCCCAAAGGAACCGCTGATAGGCGGGGAGCGTTGGACCAGAAGATCTTGCGAAATTCTGTGGAGCAGGCGTACTAAAGAAACATCTACCTCAACGGGGAAAACCTTGATGAGAAGAGTGATGATGAAATGAACCGTCCCTCAGCCCAAGGTCTGCTGAGTGAACGCATATCATCAAATTAAACTTCCCTCTTGTCTCTTATTTATCCAAGATCTACCAAAAGCTCCTTCCTAGATGCATGGAGATAGAACACTGCAACAAACAAGGAGCATTCTGGAGAAAATTCTCACCAATCCGTAGGATCTTTTGCGTGATTCGGATGACAGAACACTGAAACCAATCGCTTATGGCAAAGACGTTGAGGGTGGTAAGCATATCAAGGAAATCAAAGAGGGAAAGAAGCGAAGCATGCAGTGAACATCTTGTATTTTCCGGTGCATCATAATCTTGTATTCATGCGATCTTAAATTCTAGGCAGATGCGTAAACAGTCTACATAAGAATAATAAACAAGAACAGAAACTGAAAGAATAGTTGTGAAAGAGTGTGGGAAAGTGTTCAACGCACATTATGCAAGAGCGAACAAGAAAATTCAAGATCTCCTAGACAATAACTAATTATGGCCGAGGTGACCAGGGTCTCGACTACCCTTTAAATCGAAAGCATGAGATTTAAGAAAATACTTGATATCATAGCAAAGGGTGACTAACAAGGGGATATCGGTATATTTAAGAACATGCCAATATCCCCAGGAAAGAATTGATTAACATAGTGCCGCGTCCAGGAAGATGTTGCACCTCATAACAAAAGGCTAGCTACTCTGCAATCGGACTGAATCTGAACAATGTGAAGCAGAGAGCCGTGGATAGACGACCTTCCTTTTTCTAGTTTCATGGACACTGATTCCCAGGATGGCCTAGCTACTCTGTATTCATTTAGCCGTTAGGAAGAATTGAGTTCTGACTTGCCATCTTTGCCTCTGTGGGTTTTCAAAGAAAGAAGAAGTGAAGGAAGCAGTGGGGAAGAAGAAGAAAATATTCACTAGGCAGGTGGTGGCGGCGCAGTGACACCTCCTACCACAGTTAATGACAATTGTGACTAGCAGAGCCCCCCTCCCTTCTGTGCCTTCTCTCTCATCTTCTTCACTCATTTGGCGTTCTGCTCACTCGTATAAACTGGGAAGCTATAACCCAGCTAGAAAATCAGATATACCAAGGTCCTGTCTTTACTTGATCAAACAATTTCAAGGAGCAAGATCATCGTCAAAGCAAATTCGGCAGATATAGGGCATAATTTTTCAAGATGGAAGCATATTGCCACGTTAAAAATCGACCAGCTAACAACACTCGAAAGGAAAAGAAGGCCAACTGGTGAATGAAAACTCACTATGGAAACACCGACTTCACCCTCTCGATATCCAAAAGCTGCTGGGTTGGTCGAGGAACCCCTAACCTGATCTGAAGCTTCATGTGGTCCGAGTTCACACCTGGTATTGATCCTGCACAGACAAGACGCAAATAGTTCATACACCAGCTTCGCCCATAAAAAAAAAAGGAGCAGAAAAAGATTTCACGAATCAGAACTTCCAATTCCAAGGAAAGTTTCCAGCATCGGTCGCACAGAACCAGATGAAACAAGGAGAAACGGGTTTTAGGGAGAATGATACGGAAACGGACCAGTATGATTTTCCAGATTCGTTTAACAAAAAAGGCATGTAGAGCACTCAATCGCCGGAATTATTTTTTTTCCTCACAGAACAAAACGAAGCATACTTAGTTAAACCCCTGGAGAAAGATCATACAACTTCGACACATAAGTGATATTACGATCAAGCAGAGGAGCGAATCGTCATCACCTCGGCGGAAAGCTGGAATCGAATTGGAGGAGATGGCATCCCTACAGGCCCGCATAGCCGCCGCCGTGATGTCCTGGCTGCAGGGAGAAAAAGAAGGAATCATGGGTAAGATCATACAAGAACGAGATGCAGAGAGGATCTGGTGAGAAATGTAGAGGGGCAAAAGCCACCCACCCATGCTGGTCGTAGCCAACCCCCATCTCGACGAACAGCAGCTTCATCGGCGGCTCTTTCCCCCCTCCGCTTTCTTGGCCTTCCATAACGAGGGTTTGCTCGGTACGCGATGTCCGCAGGGGAAGTGGAAGACGAGGGTGGGCCGCGGGGCGACGTTTTCTGACGTAGCAGCCGACTCTGTCGATCTCGCCACCCCAACTACCTCTTCGACTGGTGGCGAGCCGACCTGCCAGCGTCTTCTTTGTGTGAACGGAGAGTGGGAGAGATTGGGCGAGGACGAGCATCTTGACCGGGGGCCAAAGAGGGAAAGGTCAGCTCCAGATTTGAGCATTCCAAGACTCTCGAGTCAGAAATCAAGTCCAAAACTCTTCCTTTTAGAATACAGATTAGGAAAATAGGTCGTTTCTATCAGTCTCGGATCCTTTGAAACCCTATACAGCATGGCTATGCATGCCATTTTTCTGGTCATCATTATAGATTAGAACTGAACAATATTATTAAGTTGGCAATATAAACTATTATAATGTGTAATCGTGGGCTCATTTGACTGGCATTTGATAGATTAGGATCGATCAATCAGGCATTTGGCAGGCAGTAATCTTCATTCGAGTTCTAAATCAGTGGTCTTTACTCTCCATCAATAACGTGCCTCCACCATAGTGAATTGTTTAAGGATGCTACACAGTTCATCCGATGCTAAATAAGGTACGATAATCGGTCATATTATTCTGACCCATGCAAAGATTTCGTTCAATTTAATGGATAGACTGTGAGAAACTTTACATCAAGAACAATACAACAGAAAACGAACTGTTTTGCTTGAGAATCTCACGGCCGCTATCTAGACGTCGACCTGCAGACCGACTTCAGCTGGTGGTGGGAGTCGCTCTGGTTTTCCTTCATCAGGCAGCCGCGGGCTTTGTCCTTGAATACCTGAAAAACCCGCATGGTTTCCACATCGAAACCACCTGCAAACTGGATTTTTTTTTTAATTTTGTTCAGAGGGAAGGTAAGGTCAGATGCAAGGACGTTGACATTGACATCAGATTCAGGACATTGACATCAGATGCAAGGAACAGGTACCTGGTGCACTCTGAAGGCAAATCTGACCCCCTGGAGCATGAGCTCCTCGTCCTCCTGCGCCCCGCCCATGGCTTCCAGCTCTGCGGCTATTCTTTTCATGTACTTCATAGCCAACTTCACGGATGCAAGCTTAATCTGGAAGTAACATTTCGAGTCTGAGATTAGAAAGTCTAAATATAGGGCCCAATCAATCGTTTTCTTACAGCCAAGAAGCAATGAACAAAGGGATATTCAGTCCCCTGGTAGAATGTCGCACAGCTCCAACCATTATGTTCCTCATCCATCGATAAAGGAGTTCTTAGGCTTAACCTGGTCTAATCCTAGCAGCCTGCCGTAAATGTCTACGGTGGGAACGGGCATGATCTTATCGTATCAAATAAGCATATAAGATGTGCGATCTTCGCATTTTTCCCAATATGTTCGATTTAGAAGTTGAGGTGCCTGTTGTTATCTTGTTCACAATTTTGACACAAATCCACTAGTTATAATATAAACCCATTGAAAACCTGGCGCAGACTTAGACTGGGTAGAGCGACAGAAATATTAATGATCAATAATAATAGTTGCTTAAAACATTATCAAACTGGCATTGGTTGCTAAAGGAATTTTAAAATTTAAAGACTTCTCCGTTAAATCTCCCCGACCTCATGAACAAAAGTGAAGAGGAAGCTCTAGCTTTTGTTGCTTATTTGGTGTATTTAGTCCTGATGGCAAAGTTGGAGCAGGTGAGTGGAAAATATTGGGTAGGTGGAGACAAGTCTGTGACGAGGCGATGGCATGAGAGGGTGGGGTAATCACCAGACTTGAGGGAAACGCTTTCCGCCCCTTCCGTTCATAGTTAAGACAGGGTTTTCATGCCAGGGAGGACAGAAAGAGGAATCAAAAAGATATCAAAAGGAGTTGAACCAAGGAAGAGGCGCAAACAAACGAGGGAAACGAGATGGACCCCAGGTGTCATTATTGACTTTAAACTGGGACGGGCATCAGAGGAGAAGACAAAAGAAACAGCCAGAATCGCAAGTTCTTGCCGAGAACAATCCATGGGCACTAGAAACGGAGGCGAGCACCCCCATGCGCGGTAGACCCCAATCACCAATTTAAAATGACAGATAAGAAGGCGAGTCCAAGACAACGTCTTTAGGCTGTGCAGTACTCTGCGGCCCCATGGCTTAAATAATCGCAGCCAATAATAGAAATCGGGAGAAACTATAGACAAATCTAGGCCCCATTCTCCATGGCACCCAGAGATTCTCCAACTATCTCACATGCCCACGGGGACCAAGGGCCCCCAAGTCCCCCTCAACTCTCGGATTCCACATCACACTCAGGCCGGGAAAGCTGTAGGGGATTTGCAGTAAAAGAGTCTGAAAGGCAGGAGGAGTTCATATGTTCTTGAAAGGGAGGTGTACCTGAGTAATGAAACCGGTTTCCTGCATCCAAACCCAGGGGATCTGAAAGGCGGTGTACCGTTTGATCGCAGCCTCTCTGACACGCGATAAGTTGTACACCCCGTGCTCCAGCCTGAGAAACAACGTGTCGGAACAGGAAGATTAGATCCAGATCGACAAGGGTCGGCGAGATAGTTGTCTATTGGCAGGAAGAAAGTAATAACTAGTCTGCCGATGCTCGATCAGGATATTTTATCTTTGCCGCGTAGCAGGAGGAGAATCCGAGAGAGCTAGCTCTTATCACCTAGCCCATTAACTTAATCGGAGAGTACGTACTTTTCCAACAAGGCCTGCATCTTCTTGAGAGCCGAGGAACAGGGCTGGCGGGGGTCGTCCCGAAAGGACGAGGCCTCCGACTCGAGCTTCTTCAGGTCGCTGTATCCGAAAGCTGCCTCCCGCATGGCGTCCGCCTTGTGCTCCGGCCAGCTGAAGTGCTTCAGCACCGCCCGCTCGTCCACCTGCGAAAAGACTGGATTAATGAAAACTAGATTGGAAGGATAGATTTGACCTTAGCTGAATCGGGGAAGGATTTAGATTATATACACTCTGAAGTATAATACCAGGAAGGAGAGCTCGTCATCGAGCCATTTGACGAAGGTGACCACATCTTCGATGTTGGTGAAGGCGGCGTTCTCAACTTCCCTTATGAGGAATCTTATGAAGTCGCCCTGGGTCTCCACGTCGGTCTTGATCTGCATTGGAGGAACACGCAAAGCTTTAAAGAAGTTAATGGCGAAAGAAAGCTTATCGAAAGCGTCACCATGGCACATGTCTCCGCGCCTCTGCAATAAATTCGGCTGTGGGTCATAATATCAAACATCTGCCCAACTAACTGTTCATCGCTTCAACACCCTAAGCCCCGGGATGAAGCAGTTGATGCCACCGTAAAGTAAAGAAGGGTGGATTTACGAGGACTGGTTTGAATTTTCAGGACATTTTGGGCCTACTGCGTAGTTCAGCGCGTCGTTCTATGTTGAGCAGGAGAGAGATCTGAGTGATGAGGGAGGTGGGGTCCGTCGTTTCTAACTCAAAGGAAAGGGACTTCAGAGCGTCGGGGGTTGTGGGGTGGTGGTAGTGGAGAGAGAGAGAGAGAGAGAGAGAGAGAGAGAGAGAGAGAGAGAGAGAGAGAGAGAGAGAGAGAGAAGATGATGACAGAACTTACAGCGAGGAGGTGGGAGGATCGGTTCTCGATCTCCCCAATCATGTTCTTCGCGTTTACTGCAGTAGGGGCCTCCGACATGCCGCTGCCGGATTCCCTCTTCGAGTCCCGTCTCATCAGCGAGTGGTAGAACTCCACCACCTCCGGGACGCGGTGAACCCTGGCCCCGGACCTGAAGCCCTTCACCGGCGGCGGCGGAGGAGGCGGCGGCGGAGCGCGCACTCCGGCTCCACGGGCGGCCACCGCCGTGGGAGGCGGCGGCGGTGCTGGAGGTGCCGGAGGTGCCGGAGGTAACAACTTCGGTTTCTGTTCCGCTGTGTTCGAGACGTCCACGGTCTCGGATGATGCGGAAGATGAACACGGAGAAGACGAAGAAGAGGACGCTAAAGAAGATGATGAACAACTAGGCGTCGGCGGGGGTTTTGGAATCCGAGGAACTCGAGACTTGGCCATTGAAATGGCCGACTCCACGATGCACTGGAGTGCCCTCTCTGTCTCCCCTTCCTCGACCTTAGGATCTGAAGTCTCAATCGGCTTGGAAGTCTCCTGGCCGCAAGCATTGTCGGGAGATTTCGAACACTTCAGCTGATTCATTTGAAGATTCGAGCTAGATGGGATGCCGATCAGACCCTGAATATCTCGCGAGGCAAAACACTCCTGAGATTTCTCCATCTCGTTGCAGACCGGCGGGTGGCTCACTTCTTCTCTCCTCTGCTTCTCCGAGAATAGCCTCCTCATCTCATCTATCTCTGCTTCCATATTCATAATTTTCTTCTCCATCTCCGTCTCCCTCGTGTCCTCCAACGAGGAGATTTCGGCGCGCAAGCTCTCAAGCTCGAACCGGAGGCTTTCGTTCTCTTCCTCCAGAGCTTCGATCCTCCGCCTGGAACGATCCAGCTCATCGTTCTTAGAGACGATTTCCTCTTCAAGGAAGGGGACAATGGCGACAGTCTCCTTGAGAATCTTCTGCTCCAGCAGCTCGGTGCGAAGACGGGATTCCCTCTCCTGCAGCTCCTCCACAAGACGCAGAAGCTCGACATCAGGCGGCCGCGGTTGCACCTGCGCGGAGGACCGAGGGAAGTAGCCGCCAAAGGAGCGGGACAGTCCAGCCCCGCTGGACTTCTGCTGGGATCCCCCCGCCTTCTGCGAGGCCGGTGACGCAAAGCTTCTCGGCGCTTCCTGCTTCGGCGTCGATGGGCTCCTCTGGAACCCTATCGCCGCCTTCACCTTACCCGCCACCATCGCACAAACACTCCCTAAACTCGCCCTCCTCACTACAGCAGCAGGACGAGGCACAAACTCGCAGGCATCCCGACAATGCAGGAGGGGGAGAAGCAGCAGATCTCAGAGGGAGAGAGCGAGCGAGAGAGCGGAGATGGCGACCACAAAAGGGGCGAGGAGGGTGAAGGGGCGCGGACCCCGAGGAACGGTCTGCCCTCCCCCGCCTCCCCGTGGGACTAATATTGAATTCGGAATCTCATTTCCAAACCCAAAAGGAGGGCGCTTCTGGTGCTCCGCGAGTCACCGGAACTCCAAACTGTAGCCACCGGGTTCAAAAGTTTTCCTGCCCGCGCGTCAGCTAGCCGTTGTCGGAGACCGCTCGCTGCACAGGTCCGCCCATTAATAACGGCGCTGGCAGAGGTCAGCGCCGCACAGGCCCCCGCCGGCTCGTGGCGCTCACGTGACCGCGGTCGGTGGCCGTAGGCGCCGATGGGGAAGGGCGGCTGCCCTCGGGGAGACGGCACGTCCGATTTCCGACCCACCGGGGTGTCTTAAAAACCAGGGCAAGCGTCCCAGAAGGAAGGTCAGCCCTTCCCTTCCTATCTACTTGCTATCTCACGCTCCCCTTGTGATCCCTCTCTCCCCTCCCCTGAGAGATAGAGATAGAGAGATAGAGAGCTCGATAGAGAGAGAGAGAGCTGGCGAGATGGAGACGGGAGTGGTCCCAGGGTGATGGGTCTCTCGCAAGGAACAGGGTTGACCGGTCACCAAGATTACGTTGTCTGAAAACAAGGATTTCGCTGGAACCGCCTCGCATGGGTTGGAGGGTACTGCCCAAGCGGGGCCGGAGCTACGTCCCCCCCTCGCAGGGCGGCATTCGTAACTTCGCCTTCGTCTTACAGCGACTCTTTTCTCATCAGAACCTTCCGAGTGAGGACCAGGTAGAAGAAGAACTACACACCCCTTCTCTGAGCCCTTTACAGGCATCTGGAGGCCCTCTCTCTCTCTCTCTCTAGCTTTCTCATTTCACATACGGGCAAAGCTTTTATCAAAAGGAAATCCCATTCTCAGGTCGGAATGAACTGTGGTACCATCTTGAATAATCGGCTTATCCAACTCAATAATAACCTGATGCAGTATTCTCCCGGTACCACTATGCGACAAGTGCCAATTACGACGCATCGCCGTCACATTGAAATAGGGAGTTTCTGATATAAAAGTCAAACACATACAATTCAGCGCACAGTTGTCCTGTTTACAGGTGAAGTCAAGGCTACCGCATCATGGTAGGAACTGCCCTCTCAAGATTCATTCAGCAAGCTTCAGGTTCTCTCGAGAATAAAAGGAAGGATAGTAGTAAATGAAATAGAATTTAGATGTCTATATATATATATATTCTTTTTCGGCTATTCATCTGCCCACCGTGGGTCTTGGTAGATCTGCGCCTCGGGGGAAAGCGCAGCATGGTACGCCATTCTCTCCTCCTGTCATGTCGTGGCGCAAAAGGATGATCTTCCTCCGGAAGGAAGACCCCGAACAATATAACCTGCTTCTGAAGCGTCATGGAAAGGAGCGAAAGGAGCCCAAGACAACGTAGTGGTCGCAGGGCAACCACCCGTGCCCATAAGCTTCTTTACCAAAGCAAAGGGCTCAGAGAGAGGGAGAGAGAGAGAGAGAGAGGCAGAGAGAGACAGAGGCAGAGAGAGACAGAAACAGAGACAGAGAGAGAGGACACTTCAGCGTTGCTTTGTTGCCAAGCCTGTGGCTTCGAATATCATGGGATAAGAACACCCGGCATAAGCGTGCTCAATGATGTTAGATGTTCGTTGTAAGGCCTAAACTTGACTATAGATTTGAGAAATGCATGGGCCATCGATCAGACAGGTTCGTATGTGGCCAGGCCGAGCGCTTCGTATCACCAACAGAAAGATCAATGGATACGTGAGAAATTGGGAGAGAGTGAGAATACAAAGGGGGCGAGTAGGGCCTCGCCGGGGGAAAGGAGGCCGCCGGACGGGGGGCATGTTGGGGGCTTGATGCTGAATGAAGTGGGCCAGATTTTAGTCAAGAGGGGGGGTGGGTGAGGGGCGAGAGAGAGAGAGAGAGAGAGAGAGAGAGAGAGAGAGAGAGAGAGAGAGAGAGAGAGAGAGAGAGAGAGAGAGAGAGAGAGAGAGAGAGAGAGGGAGCGAGAGCGAGAAAGAGAGAGAGCGAGAGAGAGAGCGAGAGAGAGAGAGAGAGGGAGCGAGAGCGAGAAAGAGAGAGAGCGAGAGAGAGAGCGAGAGAGAGAGCGAGAGAGAGAGCGAGAGAGAGCGAGAGAGAGCGAGAGAGAGCGAGAGAGAGAGAGAGCGAGAGAGAGAGGGAGAGAGCGAGCGAGCGAGCGAGCGAGCGAGAGACAGACAGACAGAGAGAGCGAGAGAGAGAGAGAGAGAGAGAGAGAGAGAAAGAGAGAGAGCGAGAGAGAGAGCGAGAGAGAGAGCGAGAGAGAGAGCGAGAGAGAGCGAGAGAGAGCGAGAGAGAGCGAGAGAGAGAGAGAGCGAGAGAGAGAGGGAGAGAGCGAGCGAGCGAGCGAGCGAGCGAGAGACAGACAGACAGAGAGAGCGAGAGAGAGAGAGAGAGAGAGAGAGAGAGATAGAGACAGAGGAAAAGATGATGCCCAAACTGACCCAAAATGGACACTGGGTCGGCCCGAACTGAGCCCACTTGGATTTCAGGACCATGTATAACAAAAATCGAGACGAGTTCTTGTCTATAATTCGACTCAGATACATTAGACAGGAACGGAAATCACTTAATATATAGGACTGCTTGAAGACTATTGAGTGTTGTTTTTAGGGGTCGGACTGGGGCTGTTCATTTGTTCTGGTGTTCGGCGATCCAGATATCACACCGACTCATATAGTTTTCTAAGATAATGAGCGATGTCGTCCGCGTCAATGGTTTCGACCAGATAAAACCTGCTGCTTTGCCATAGTTCTATATGTTCGAGTTCAGAAGGAATAAGTTTGACATAGAGAGGGATTATATTTTATTTCTCCGAGTTAGATATCTCACCCAGGTTGCAGGCGGTTCGCGCTTCCACTGGGAGCTTGCACGCAACCATCTCTCCCTCTCTGCCTGCCCGTGGAAGGGAAATCCTCTCTCTCTCTCTGTCTCTCTCTCATGCTCCCGGAGTGTTGTCTGTTTAAGAAACTTTCATAAGCCTTGCACGTTGTCGATATCTGGATCGCCGAGACCAGAAACCCTTGCTTAGTGCGGGAAGGGCCAACTTGGTTCATGTCGCACGTCAAGTAAGAGCGGACGCCATGGATGCTTAATGACTAGTTTAGTTATTTTTCTCAAGTGAGATACAGTTGGCGGCACTGCAGAGTCACCGCTGCGAGACTAGATAGATCGCAAGGCGTAGGTTCTTCCGTAGACGCCTCCCCAAAATTCTGATCTTGGTTTGTGATGTGGGAAATCCACGGAATACAACCAAGGACCGCGCAGCGTCTACGCAACAATCAAATAGGTTCCACCAATACATATAGGTTCATAGAACAAACCCGTATGATGCTGGAGAGAGAAGAACAAACAGAGAGAACGGAAACCCTGAGGTGAACTGATGCCAGGGGACATAGCCAAGAGATGGAGAGAGATCCAAGGCAGAGATCAGTGGAAAGGCCTCTTAGATCCTCTGGACATGGATCTCCGGCGCAGCATACTTTTCTACGGCGAGATGGCTCAGGCAACGTACGATGGCTTCAACAGGCAGAAGGAGTCCAGGTTTGCCGGCAGCTGCCGGTACGGCCGGCGGGATCTGTTCGACAAGGTAGGCTTGACGGCCAATAACCCATATAAGTACCAGGTGACCAAGTTCCTCTATGCAGCGTCTACCATCCCCGTCCCCGAAGCTTTCATCATCAAGTCCCTCTCCAGAGAGGCGTGGAGCAAGGAGTCCAATTGGATGGGATACGTCGCGGTGGTCACCGACGAAGCGAAGGAGTTGGTGGGTAGAAGGGACATCGTTGTAGCTTGGAGGGGAACCATCCAGGCCCTGGAATGGATTGTCGACTTCGACTCCGTCCTGGTTCCTGCGACGACGTTACTGGGTCTGCCTTCTGGTGGCAATGACGCCGTCGGACCACAGGTGCACCGGGGATGGCTGTCCATCTACACCTCCGATGATTCCCGGTCGCCCTTCAACAAGTCTAGCGCCAGAGATCAGGTGTTGATTCATTTCCTCATCTTCTTACTAGCGGGAGGGCTCTAAAGGATCTCGCTTGCGTCTTTCTTATTCCCTGAGAAGCTTCGCAGGTCCTGAGTGAGATCAGGAGGCTCATTGAGAAGTACAAGGACGAGGAGCTGAGCATAACAATAACAGGGCACAGCTTAGGAGCTGCTATCTCCACACTAAACGCACTCGACATCGTAGTCAGCGGTGCAAACAAGCCCAGGGACCGCCCCGACAAGGGCTGCCCAGTCACAGCAGTCGTCTTCGCCTCCCCCCGCGCAGGGGACGCAAAATTCCGGTCCGTTTTCTCGTCGTTGCCAGACTTGCGGCTACTGCGAGTGCGAAACGCCAGCGACGTAGTCCCGAGCTACCCATGGGTCGGCTACGCCGACGTCGGCGTGGAACTGGGCATCGACATCTTCAAGTCTCCATACCTGAAGCAGCCCGGCGATGTCATGACCTGGCATAACTTGGAGTGCTACCTCCATGGTGTGGCAGGGACGCAGGGGAGAAGAGGGGATTTCAAGCTGGTCATCGCCCGTGACATTGCTCTCATGAACAAGTACCTCGACATTCTGAAAGACGAATACCTCGTGCCGGCGTCGTGGTGGGTCGAGAAGAACAAGGGGATGGTACAGGGTGCCGATGGTCGGTGGCAGCTGATGGACCACGAAGAAGAACTCATGATAGAATAACGGATAAATATTGACTCCGTTCGAAGGTGGTCAGGTAGGAAATGAAAATCCTGTAGCTTGTATTTATTCTTATTATCCAACTCTAAATAATGGATTCTTCGTAGATAACTTCTCAGTCGAGGCGTGCCAACATCGTTTTACGCATTATTAGTCCTGCAGATACGTCTTTCGTGTTTAATTGTTCAGCGACAAGTTTAAAGAACTGAGTAAGACGTCTCATGTTGTCATAATACTTGTTTCATCTGTCTGTACCTGCTGTCCTATAAGTAAGAACGTGATTTATGATACTGATGAACGTGATTTCTGATACTGATGGGAAGCGTTTATACAAATTGCCTTCTTTTAGCTGAGTATAATATCCGCGGTCGCCACAATTAATATTATTACGGGTCCTCTAATGCGTCATCATTATTTTGATTCAAATTTTCAGGTCATTCTCCGATTTTCAGATGAAATGCGTCGTAATCCATATAAATTAGATTGATGTCCATTGCTTCATTGTTAACAATGGATCAATATCTTGGACATCCATCAGATATTCACTGACGTCGCATGGAATAACTATGAGATTAGCGAGGTTACTCAAGTGAACAGCCTACAAGTACGCCGATTAAATACAGAATAAGATAGTCCCAGAGTTTCTTATTATGCCTCCTCTTCAGCCTCTGTTTCGGCTGGAAGACGTGCCGAAGGGCAGTTGCAGGGATAATGTTTGTTGTACATGAGGACTGAATCCCTCATGATTATATTTTTCATGACATGCGAGCACTACATACGGGCCTTTCTCTCGTTTATGCCTGTGTGGCGTCTAGATAGGACAGACTGAAGATGAGATCAACTATCCAGTAAGGTTACCTAAGGAACGACGATATTACATTAGTTATACAGAATTGAGGCATGAGGAAATAACTTCGAGAATGACGTGAAGGCTGCGACGGGACGGCAGTGTTGTGGACGATTTCAGACTGACTGAACGTGGAGAAGGTATTCTTTGACATAGAAAGCACCATTTCCATAACATTGAGGACAAACGAATCTGAATGTATCAGATTTTTAGATCAACATCAGGATCCTTCGTGACTGTCATTGAATATCATCAACGGTCCATTTGAATACTCACGTCTTTTGTTATCATCAAAAGTAGATTACGAGAGGTTCGATGTAGGAAATTTGAATGTGGAATGCCACTCGATGAAAACCTCGAGAGCATGGCGTAGGATCTAAATGATACTTGATCCGAGTAGGCCTGCACAATGTTAAACTAACAAAAGCTGAATCAACTGCCCAGACAACTGAAACTCTTGAAGATGGCTTGTAAATATGTTAAATGAGACATGACAAACCATCTTATGTGTAAGATCATAGGCTATATAAAAGATCATTTAATCGTCAAGAATCACGACTCATAATTTGTTTCATTTTCGTAGGAAGTTTTTCCTCGTGGTAGTATACTAACCGATGTTTATGCTTAGGACTGAGCTCATCAACTCCCTTCTTTTAACGTCATTGAGTTTGTTCTTTGACGATTGCATAAAAAAAAAAAACCCGTCCGAAGTCAAAGGCTATTCTGCCACTTTCATTTTTCAATAGTTAGAAAATATGTTGCTCGAAGTATAAGGCATAGAACTGGTGATCCCAAAGCAATCTAGAGCACGGTTATAGGACATCAACTATTTTGCTAAAAAATAATATTTCGAGAAACCCGAACAGGCAGCATTTGTAAGATGAGGGATGACCCTTCTAATCGCCACCATAAAAACTACATTTCTCAATAGTGCGCATAATATAATGATTTGAAGCGAAAATTCTATCATGGCGTTGTGCGGACGAAAGTAGTCTGATCGATATTGGAAGTGACAAAAGGTCTTTTATTGGAATGGTGAGCATACTTTTCTTTGCTTCATTGAATCAACTATAAATAGAAGGATCTCGCTCTCTCTCTCTCTCTCTCTCTCTCTTTCCATCCCTCATTTTTGCATTATCTTATCCATCATAAATAGTTTATCCATTCTGAGCACAACAGCCATGAACATAGACATAACAGTGTTTTTAAGCTGTCGTGGAGTTTTGCTTGAGATCAATGCCCATTCCAATTTCTTCACTGCTCTCATTCATATCAACGATGGCAACCAACGTTCTGACTCCTGGTTCCACCAACCATGTGTTAGGGATCAGGGTGTCCTCATTTCTCCCTTTTGCACTGTAGAATTCTAATGTAAAATGCTACATGAGAGTGGGCAAGGGAGAGAGTGACAAAAATACGAAACACATGGGATTTATGTGATTAGGAAAAACCTCTTGCCTTGCAGTCGTACATAGATCAAGCTTCCTTCAAGAGAATCACCTCTTACAAGCCTCTGAGATAACACACTTTTGGGTGCCCTAATATACCGAGATAGTGACACCCCCTTGTGTTAACATAAGATTAAGAAAAAAAACTCCAATAGGGTCCAATAGAACCCATTAGAGCCCAATAAGGTCCTAATAAGCATTTATTATTATGAGTTAATAATGGTTAAAATATTTATTTTATGAATTAACTCATGATAAATATACACTTTTTTATGTTAAATAGAGAAAATATTTTTTTTTGTGACTAATAGGAATTTTTAGTTAATTATGTGATTTTATATATTTTTATATTTATATTTTTTAGATAAAATAATTTATAGAAAAAAAATAAAAAAAAGGGGGGGACCCATTAGCCAGAAAAGACAGTAGCTAATCGGGAGGGCATTGCATGTGAGTTAAAAGCTTAGTTAGGGAAGCTACAAGCCAAGGGATTAAGTGGCTAAGGACCCACACAGAACACATGTGCATCACTCCCCTCTCACGTCATCGGGGGCTAGTCAGGCATGGGACAAGGAGTGTTCATACACACATGTGTATGTTAGGGGTGGACGAGCTGATTTTGTGGGGCCCTTACCCCAAAAGGGTCTTGGCCGTTATGATTTTGGGAGAGGTAACTTGAAGAGAGAAGAGGGTAAACACTTACATTTGTCTTAAACATCCAAATAAAACCAATGCAGGACCAAAATGTGATCACTACGTGTTGGTAAAATAATACATAAAATACTCATGTAGTATAAGAAGGAAACATGGTCATTAACTCACTATTTTAAGGGGATTTTGGTCTTTCGTTAACCCTCTCTCACAAACTGAGGTGACCAATGAAGGTTCATATCCCACGAAAGCTAAAGTTGATAATTTTTATCTATTTTTAACTTGTGATTTTTCTACAGAGCAACTGACAACAATTTAGTTGTCAAAAGTGCTTGATCATCAATAGAAACTTTATCAATAACAATCATAGATCATCATTACCAACCAAAAAATAATTTTAGATAAGAAGATCACAAATTTATCTAAAAAATCATCTCTAGTTAATCAACAAATATGCCGTTGTTAAGAACATAGTGAAAACGATTTGTTGTGATCTTTTCAAGCATTCTGAATGTGATAAAGTCTCTTCTTATTGTGTGTACTTAAGGATGAAGCTCCTTGAGACATGCTCCAGATCCATCTAACTTAACTCCATTGGGTGATAGTTGTTGGAGACCAATCCTCACAAAACTTTTGTTCCACCAAGTGATAGTCGTTAGAGACCCATCTTTGGGAAACTTCTGCTCGACTGGGTGACAATTATCAAAGACCCATATTTACAAAACTTTTGCTCTACCAAGTGACAACTGCTAGAGACATCATCACTGCCTACCTTCACCTTTTGGACTTTGAACATAAATCTAGAGAGTGCCCACATCATGCATGTCCAAAGAGAGTCTTTGGGGCCATAGACATTGCATGAAAATTTTCTTGAGCACCTAAAATTCTAATGATCACCACTACGACACTATAACTTTATTTTACCTACTTTGAACTTAATTAATTATTAAATTAATAAATTTTTGAGTGCTTTTAAAATTTGAAACCCTTCTTTAGTCAATTACAATTACGAATGATTCATTTGAAGTTTATAGACCTTAATTTCATCCATTAAATTGTTAGTAATTATTTAGTAATTATTGACAGAATAATCACTGGGTGGAACTTTGTTTCCACTCAAATTCTCATTCTTCGGTATTGACATCATCCTAATGTTAGCATCTGAATTTTCTCTTTTTTAAATTTTTTTTAATAGATTTCTTTTTATCATTTAGTCTAAATATCATAAAAAGTATATTATTTGAGTTTTTTTTAAAATTTACCTAATATCGTCTTACATCCTTGTGATCAACTTAAAAAATTTCTACTATTTATGATTTTTTTATCAAATTATAATTGATATATTAGTTAAGTTTTTTTTCTAAATATCTAAATATTGATATTGTCTAGTTTTATATATTTTAAATTTTACGTAATTTCTTATAGAAACATTAAACCACATCAGGTCCATTAGGAGATCAATCTCGAAAACGCTAGCACATGTCTTCTCTTATGTTTGCTAACTTTTAGACTTTGTCAAGTACACAATTTATATATGGTGTTTACACTAAAAAAATAACAATACACTCTTGCATGTCCATAAAATGGTTTATACTAAAACGATTAAAAAAAAACTCAACAAGCTCTAATAGAAACAATTATAGACCAATAGTGTCCAATACGATATTAATCTCCAAAACTCCAACACATGTGTCTCCTCTTATATTAGTCAACTTTTAGACTTCATCAAGTAAATGGTTTATAAATGGTGTATACATCAAAAAATAATTGACAGATCTCATAAAATGATATTATTTTGCCTTAAATAAAATTAATTTTAACTATATAAAAAATATTCTGTGTTGACTACTGATTTTTGGGATTAGAGAATATTTCTTTATTTTTTGGTTCTTTTAATCCTGTCAAAATTTGTCACACCTTGACTACTGATCCCCATGAGAGATTAGCTCTAAGGTTCTCTCTCTCTCTCTTTCTCTCTCACACACATATACACACTGTAGTTTGCCACTCATGCTTGTCATTTGGTCGTGGGGAGTTTAATGGTTTTCATGTTGAGACACACCAAGGTGGAACCTCCATGAGATTTGTATATTTTGACATCCGGTCATGTGAGCCGTGTAATATTTTGACATCTGGTAACTATAGTCTTATTTCAAGTGTTATTTTTACTATCTCCTTATTATACGCTAAACTATGGCTCAAATCCAAACCCAGATGAATTGGTTAATCTAGTCTTGATAAAAAATTTACATTGAGAACTCTTATAGCTAAGAAATTTTCGGAAGTTTGATCCGTTAGTTTTGTCAAACAAATGGACTTGGTCCACGTTAGATCTTTTCGTGGCAGTGTAATGGGTCTTCTCGATATCTTACCGAGCTGATCTTCCCGCTGGCCCATTGGCCCGTCTTTGGTTCTCTTGCTGACCTGTTGGGCATACTGTGCTCTCCCGTGCGCCTGCCTGACGCAGTGGTTGCAATCCTGCAGTTGCAACCGAGCGCGTATGCGGCTGTTCAGCGCTCGAACGCGGATTACCGGATGCCCACACGGCCAGATTCGGCCAATTTTTTGCCGGTTTCTTAAACGTTTTCATCGTCAGATAATGTGAGCAAACAGGCACCCTGCTGAAAAGGGACGCCCTTTTGAAACGGGTCTCTCCCTTACACAAAGTGAAGGGGCTGAGGTAGATAGTGCCCACAGCGAGAACGACTTTTTCTTTCTGCCCTCTATTTTTTTCATGTCCTCTGTTTTTTTCCTTTCTTCCCTTGGCTTGATGTCATTGTTTGTTTTCATGTTAGACAATTATTTCCGAATTATGATCTTATCACGTAGAAATATGGAACACTGAGTTCTGTTTAAACTTTGGGAGTTATCCAAACTGCGTTTGGTTCCCTGAAGAATAAATGCAGTGGACACGTACGCTCGGACTTGGAGCAGTTAAGGGTAGACAGTCAAATGCTGAATATCTTAAGAGTTGATGCCATTAATCTAAACGATCCTTATCCTCCACAGATATGCGCAAGACCAGGGATAATAAAAGGTAATAGTATGCCCGACATACGTGGCGTTTTAAGATAATGGGCTTGACTACGAATCATTAAAGAATTACACCTTTTACCTTTCCTATTCAATAGAGGTTTTTTTCCCTCGTTATAATCTAATAAATTGTAAGCAATAACCCAGTGAAAAGGCAATTCAAGGTCTTTCATTAGACATGAATTCAAGGTTTTTTCGTGGCCGCCGGAGCCATGACAGCATGCCGAATTTCCCGGGTCATCGGTCTATTCGACGCCGGCGGGGAAAATGATGTAGAGCAGTCAGGAATATGCCACAATAAACCTTATTGAGTCTTCTATCAAGAATGAAATAGAGGACTTATGCATTGCTTGTAACTAATAAGCTTTGTCTGTCGTATTCAACTGAAACAATCCATTACCATCATTTTGTGCGTTCGTTGATGGCGGCACAGACATATCGAATGCCCTAAAAATGTTAACGTTGACCCATTGCAATTGTTCCGATCCATAACAATCTATAACGTCATTGAATGCGTCCTTTGATGGCGACATCAACAAACAAGGATCCATAAAAATGAAACGGTACATCTGTTTTTGTTACATTGACTGGAAATTCTACAGCCAAAAGTTTATGCAATGGTAGCAATTTCAGAGATGACTTATTCATATGCGCCTTTTTTTCCGTTGATCTCGCGGAGTTTAGACAGGCCAGACCGAAGCTGAAAAATAAGAAATTGTGTTGTGTAATGTTACTCAAGAAACAACATTGGGACACGACTGTCAGTTGGTTCGAGGACGAGAAGGGAACGCCGAGAACGACATCAATGCTCAGAACCTGCAAGTACCATGGAGTTTTAATGGATATAAGCAACTGACGGTAAGATTTAAGGGTCAATGGTGCACTTGGTTAACTTTGTCGGCCGCCGCCGTGGACGTAATACGAAGGTCGAACTTCCTGCTTTCCTGGACTATCCCGCAAAACAGCCGCCGCCGGGGGAGCCATGCTGGCGTAGAACAGTCGTCATCAAAAAATTCCCTCACCAAACCTTATCAAGCCTCATGTAAGCGAATAAATACACAGAGGGTTCGTGCATAGCCTGGGTTTCGTCGTACCTGCTATTCGTCAGGGACAAATCAGATGCCGTCAACGCTTCAAGTTTATCATTCCCTTCCGCATTGATCGGAAACCCTGCAGCCGAAAGTTAAGGCGCTCTCAGCGATTGGTAAGCATTTTCGGAGAAAGCGATGGCACAAGGGCGGGAGATTGACAATTTTGGTCAGAGACTATTCCTGTAGACATCTGGGTACCCAGCATTGGTCAGAAGCCGCCAGCGAACTTGCTCCACTCAAGTATCCTACAAGAGCCAACGTCATTCTAGGTTTACGTGGACACAGATTTCTGGCTCGACGATGCTGTAAGTGACACAAGGCCGTCGTTAGGAAGCGTGAACGCCCCCCAATTCGCCTCCTCGAATCGGCTATAAAAAATCTCCCACCTTCTCTATTCCGTGCGGTTAATTCACACACCCTCTCCTGTCTCTCCTATCTCCACAAAGTTCCTTTCTCCGATCTCTCATAGAGAAGTACTGCTCTATGAATGGAAAGTCTAAATGAGGAGAACACGCGGTCCTCAAGCTGTCGCGGAGTTTCTTTTGAGATCAGAGCGCGTGCCAATTCCTTCACTGGCCCCTCCCTAATCAACAACTTCGACCGACCTTCCGGTCGCTGGCTACAGTTGCCATGGAGACTGGGAAACTCAGCGGAGGTTTTCCCTGAGCCGGTTCATAGTCAAAGATTACTAAGCCGTTCGAGCAGTCACTTTTGTGACGTCGAAAGAGATGATGAAGACGAGAAGCACGGGCCTCTGCCTATCTTCCAGGAGGTTTCCAACGACCTCGAGAAGCAACAGCCCGGGCAAGCACTGGAGCCGCGCGAGCAGCACACAGGTGACAAGGGGGATCGTTCCGTCACACCCGTGAAGACCAACGAATCGAGGTTGTCGATAATACTTCTCGACCAGGGTCTCTTCACCGTATACAAGAGGCTCTTCGCCGTATTCTTTACCGTCAACATGGCTGCCTTCGTTCTGGCGATCGCCGGGAACTTCTCCTACGCCGAGCGGA